GCCCAACAACTCATTATTGACCCAAACTTGCTATAACTTGCAATAAGGAATAACCTTTGTGTGTGACCCATTAGGTCCAATTAGTTACTGACATAAATAAACTTGAATTAGTTAAACTCATTTAAAATGCCCAATCCATTTAATGACTACATGATACACTAGCAATGCTCTGTAGCCCCATAACTAATTGAGTTGATCAAGTGATCTACCTTTCTGATTTGGATATCGTGCCAGCATTTTCCCTCACATCGTCATTCACATTTAGTCGAGAGTAAGGATAGAGTATCATCTCTCTTTATTGACTAAATATAATATTTCATAGGAACTAAGAGTCTTCTTCTATTAACTCTAAGACAGATCATGACTCTTCATGATTTCTTACTATGCATAGATTTCTGAGTCAACTAGAAGTCATCTCAGCCCTACCGGACTTTGTGAACGACTAATCCCTTATAGGGGATTGTGAGTCCTTTCGGCATGTCCATCTATACTCATGTATTCGAGTTATACCCAAGAGTACATTGTTATCTCTATTTTCAGGCGGATAGAGTTATACAGTCAAAGTATAACTCTAGGACATAGTATTCGATGACATCCTTAAGTCTAGGACGATCTGCACTACCAAACGTTTAGAGACTTTACAAATCCAATGATACTCTCCATAATGAATCCTTGTGAAGTCTCTCGGCGGGTCAGTTCAGTCTATCTGTTCTCCAACAGATCCACCCACGACATCAGTTAAGGCATCACTATGCCTGCATTCCATGAGGTCTCTACCTTGTATCTCCATACAAGTAGATGATGTCGTACTAGTCTTATTGAGATCACCAATACCCTTTCTTGGTGATTCAAGACCAGGAACGAATTTTAGGTAATAGACATTCAGTGTCCTCGAGTCCTCATGATTATGTTCCCTATCATAGATCCCCGAGTGAACACCTGTTCTATTCCTAGGGTCTTTATCTTTAAACGCATATTAACAATAAAATATTGGCGATACATAAATACGATAAAGATAAATTTTGCTCAAATTTATTAATCATGAAATACTAAATAGAAAAAGGTGTTCATATGATAAAACAGATTGTCTCTAGGACACCTATAGACTAACAGTAGTGACTTGAGAGGCATATAATATGATATTTAGGCAATTATTTTAATTATTCCGCAATTAGTTTTCAGTTACGATCACAACTTTTATTCGTTATGCTTTATTATTGTTTTAAATGCTTGCGTAATGAAAAGGAAAAAGTTTACTCGCTTTTTTATAAATGAATTGTTGTGATTGTAACTGCACTTAATATTATAATCAATGTTAATAATACCGGTGTATAATGGGCTGTTACATAGGGTAACTTGCATTGAAGCTACCTAGCTTGGGAGCTTCAAGAAGGTAATCTCTTGGTATTGGGGTTAATCCCCGTATGTGCTCCACCATGCCCGTTGGGGTAGTGGTTGGAAGTTGTATGTCAATGATATGATTATAACATGCTCATGCATATATATATATATATATATATATATATATATATATATATATTAGGTACAAAGGATGTACCGTATCTCTGGCCAGTAGATAGATTTCCTTATGGCGTTACGGACTTCCACTGGATAGGTCTCCGTGAGGGAGTTCCAGTTGGCTTTGGGCCATAGAGATGTTATACGTTGAGGAGCACTCTAGGAATGTCTCGGGTGTATCGGATGAGGGCGTCTTGAATGATGTTTCGAGAACACATTCTTGGATGAGAGCCCTAGGCTATATGCCGAGGCCAGTAGGCTGGATGTTGCGTGGTTTTGGCTATGACCATTCCAGCTTCATTGTATGTTTTCTCTCTATACATCCCTACTTCTCTAAATCCCTTGCTATATCCTTTTGTTGTTATGATTCATTGTTGTACATTTAGATCTGAGTAAGCCATTGGGTGGAGTGATCCTCCAGAACCTCTGGGTTACTGAGATATATTCGTATATCTCACCCCGCATTATGGGGCATTATTTCAGGTGGTTGTAGTGGGACTGGAGCTACGGGCAAGAAGCCCGCGGGTTGAGCTTATGGAGTTGGAGTATTTTATATTTTGGGCCACTCTGCATAGGCTAGACTTAGAGCATAAACATTGTATATTGCATTAGGGATTTGTATCATGCCTTATTTGTTCATGCTTCATTTTGGCTAAGTCTAGATTGGCATATTTATTGTTGTATTTTGAGGTACCGTATTGTAGTTATATTTGACATTGGAGGATTGTAATGTAATGAATCATGGACCTTGTGTAAAGTATAAGCATGTATGTGATGAAAGGGAAGTATGTCTATTTTAGTGTATGAATTATATGTCAATGTCAATTGTTAAGAATGCATGAAATGGAATAATGTGATTGTAATAAGTTTAAGTTTTGATAAAGTTAAGTAATTGATTGTAAATTAATGAGAATAATGTAAATTGTTATGGGTTGTAAGAGCACCAAAGCATTGTTGGTCTTTGTGTGCCATCCTTGTCTATTAGGTACTATTTGAGATTTTAAAACACTTTTGATAAAGTGAGATAAGTTAAATAAACAAAGGAGATGTCGTCAAAATTTATAATAAATGACAGTTTTTAGGCTAATTTTGGGAGAGAATATCTCACTCCATAGAGGTCCAATAGGGACATTCCATATATCATTTTGAAGCTTGAGATGTCAGCTAAACCTGTAGGTTTGATTGAGTGACGACTGCCCATTCAGGCCTTGCACAAGGGCTGTTCGGGTTACTGTTTTCCACAAATTGTTTCTCCCTCAATTCTTATTGAAATTAGGCTCGTGATATATAAAATTAAAGCTTAAGGTATCTAGTATTTTGTATAAAAATGTGAGAGTAATTGGTTGAGTGGTTTGTTCAGAATCTCAGAAATGGTGGGGATGTTTGTGCCCTGTTTTGGGTTGCCTGGCAGTTTTACTTGTCCAACTTCAAATGGTGATAACCGGAGCTAGAGCAGTGGCAGACCTAGAAAATTTTATTTATGTCTGCACATTTAGAGTTGGGATTCAGAGCCCCCAAATTTTTTTTTAAAATATTTTAAATGTATTAAAAACAAAAGAATATAAATAAGTGGTCCCTTTAAAATTTTTGGATACTCAACAAATATTATGGGACACAATTTAATTCTTTAGAGAAAAAAAATTCGACTCGAGATCCCTTTTAAATTCAAAATAGACCAATTTTAATCATTTTGAGGGACTAACGAGGATTTTCTTTGAATTTTAGAGGTATCATGATTTCAACCAAATTGGTCTATTTTGAAATTCAGAAAATCACAAGTCGAGTTTTTTTTTCTAAGTGATTAAATTAGACCCCATAATTCTTGTTGAAGACCTAAAAGATAATTTATTTATTTATTTTCAAAAATTTGTGCCTGCACTTGCACACACTGGCACAAGTGCAGGTCCGCCTCTGAGCTAGAGTAATCTTTATGCGGCGTGTGATACCTTGTTGGAAAGATAATGGAGTCTAGAATAATATACTAAAAGATGAGAGGTTAGTAGCATGGGAATTTCGCACGATGTCCAGAAGACTGAAACACACCTTAAATGTGAGATTTATGCTAAATGGGTTTATGAGAATCTCTTAGTGGCTTAAAATAAGTAATGTATAATAGTAAGGCATTTATTTTATCTATTCCGCATTTAGAATTCAATTATGATCACAGCTTATGTCATTACATTTTCTTATTGCTTTTAAACGCTTACGTAATGAAAAGAAAAAAAATTTACTCGCATTTTTAAATGAACAGTTTTACTTTCACACGTTTAAGGTAATTTGGTACATTATTATATTTTCATTTACAAGAACTAATCATGATGTCTTTATATATTCTGGAGACAATTTTTCCAGCTCTTTAATGTCTTCTGTACCTCGCTGAAAACTCATTTTATTCCTTTATAAGCCATATTATGATTACACCATTCATCTTTTCAGTGGGGTATATGAAGATTTCTAGGTTCTCGATTAATTAATTTTTAATGCTGTGTGATATTGCAGTTTATCACAATAATTGCATTTACCATAATAAATTTGATGCAAAAGGAATATTGTAGTGTTTTTTTTTTATAACCTTAATTATCTTTTGGGGCTACACTATAATTCGGAAAGATAATCACGAATCGATCTGTGTGACAATTATTTAACTTGGCTTAAAAAAAAGTGATTCACACACTTATTAAATGAAACATGGCCTAATAATAGATAATGCTAAAAGAATGTTCCAAAAAGTATGTGGATAAAATCAGCATAGTGCTGCAGAGTTTGCAGAACCCCACCCTTGAATTCGAGTTCCTATACTATTACATTACATCAATGGACAGAAAAAACAAGAACCCGAGTTAATTTTTCTCATACATTTGTTTTAGATGTATAGTTCACACACAACCTCAATTTCTGGGGCAAAATCCTGCTTGATTTGGTACTCTTCCAAACACAGTGAAAAAACTAAGGAAAGATATACACTCATATGAGCATGTGCCTCGGACATGCCACCACCATTAGTATACAACAAATGCACAAAGATTACACAATATGATATGACATAGTGGATGTAAACTAAATTTTTTCAAGGAAACAGAATCAACAAATAAGCATAAATAAAAGGCAAATCCTGGTTTTCTATACTCGAATATGTGACCTTCCAATCATAAGAAATAATTTTACCACTGATCCAGACCTTGTTCTAGGCAAAGAAGCATAGATATTAAACAAAATACTGGATAAGGACAAGGACAAAGATTATCACCACAATGTCTAGATTATATCTCTAGATACTCTAAATTATATCAAGATATAATCTTAATATTATACGATATCATCTAATTGTGGTTATCCTTATCCCTAATAAAAAAACAGCTAATTAGCCAAAAGGAAGAGATAAGTAGAGACAGGAAGAAAGACAGTGAAATGAGGCTATATATATATATATATATATATATATATATATATATATATATATATATATGGTACTTTGTTTTGGGCTAAATGTTTACCACTAAGGCATCAATCTTAGAGGAAGCACTCCTACCACTGCTGGAAAGGCTCCACTTATCAGAAACTGTGCCTGCTGAAGTAGCAGCAGATGAAATGCTACCTGCAGAAACCCCACATTTGGCTACAATCCGTACACTCTCTATCAACTCCTTGGTGAGAGCCTCTTGTGACAAAATGTCCATCAAATGTTCTGGAGTTATCGCCAGTTTCACTTTCCAGAACCTACTACTATTTTTAGTAATAGTTCTACTAATCCTACAAGAAAAAGGTTCTATGGGGTTCCTCTTCAACAACCCCACTCCTTGGTGGTGTTGGTAGTTCAATGACATTCTATATGGGGCAGGGTAAGTGGTTGTAGGAACACTTTGAGAACGAACATGGCCTTGTTTGATGATGTGGTTGCCACCACCACTGTCGTCACCACCGCCGTCACCACCAGAGGCTGAAGGGTGTTCACCTTGGTTGTTGAGTGGAAGTAAATAGTAAGACTGTCCTGAAACCAACTCATCAAATTGGCACAATGGCTTCATAGAGAGATCATGGCTTGGGAATATGCCATGCCCCGGAAACTCATTGGTGATGAAACTCACAGTAACAGGAGCACAGAATTCCATGATGCCACCATTAGATGTTATCACTTTGATTATTGTTTCAGGATCTGATATGCCCCCCAACAAGCAGTTTCCCATGTTGGACTTGGAATTTGTATGAACTGTGATGTAATAGTCATGTTCCTATTCTTTGTCCTTATATATGGTGACTAGCTTGCTTAGAAGGTATTCAAGAGCGGGAAAACTTATGGGGATGAAAAGAAAAAGAAGTTCTATAAGGTGGATTCTTCTTGCAGAGAAACCCTTATCAAGTTTATTAGAGTAATATATACACCCTATTGCTATTATAAAGTTAATGTAGATGTTTAATATTCTTGTCACAAGCTATGTTTTGAAAGTACATAAAAGTTCTTCTTTCTCTTTAGTTTTGGCAAATTATATTTGGCAAAAGCAGGGTTGGAAGGAAAAAGAATGTACTTTAAGTTGTGCATGGTTTATTCTGCTTGTTCAACATTAGTTACCTTATATATTCCCTAGTCAAAAGTTGAATAAATGAAGCATCATATATTGTTTTCACTAAGATTTTTTAGTGAACAAGAAAGAAGAAAAATGTCGTTCAAAATCCAATTTGGTCCCAGTATGATAGGACCAGCAGAAGAGAAGAAAGCAAAAGGACTAGTAGATATACCTGCCACTTCTTTGTCCTTTATCTTTTTCTTTTGACACTTTATCCTTTGATAAAGGCATCAATGTATCAATAAACTATAAATTCATTCAGTAGTATAGATTATGGAAAATACAATTACAATCACATAAAATGTCACTAAGAATCGTTTGTTTAGCTTCGATTTTGTTTCACTAATTTTGGTCAATTATTGTTGAATTTCAAGCTCATGTGACATCATCTATAGTTTAATTTAATAGTATGGAGTCTCTGGAGCAAATCTTTTGCTTTGCATGTCCTCTCTTTTTTAAGTTCTACTTGGTGAGAGTGAGCATTTCATAGAGCAATGCCCTATTAAATTTGAAGGATTTCATTGGTTAGTGACGAAGTGGATTGTGCATGCCACATGGAATCATTTAGTTAAATAATAATAATAAGAATAAACTTTTCCATGTATCTGGCATTTTCCCTGTAAGCGTCATAAAAGCATGAGAATTGGTGGCACAAGTCATACTTATTACCTAACATCAAATCCTCACACTGAAGCAGTTTCAATGTCAAACTCTAATGAAACTAAAATTTGTAATAAAAAACCCACTATGATTTTCATCATTGGATTCAAGTCAAAATGACAGTAGCAGTGTAAGCAAATCTGATAATAAGTGACTAATGGAGACAAATAATGTTGAAGTCTTTTTATTTTATAACTTGAAATGGTAATGTTAAAAGACATTACATGCCACAGAGCATTAAGCTTAACCTTTCCTAAGTGCACTTGCTTTTACAGTTGTTGACAACACCATCAATATCTTCCTCATCTGCAATTTAAAATTCTCTTTAGAACTTGAAAAGAAGAGTAAGTTGTGCATGTTGTGTGTGTGTATATGAAAACAACATAATAATTTAAGATGAACATTCATACTTGGATTGTGGTGGAGGGTGTTTACAACACAGTTTTGAGTGCAGGGGTAGTTGGCATGATCCAATGACAAAATGGTGCACTTGGCCATGCACACACCATAGCATATCAACCTACCGAAGATTCTCTTTTCTGCACATTGTGTTGAACATTTTTCATCACAATTGGGTGAAAGTGGTGGAGGAACCTGAGAAAGAGGTGGTGTTTGAGCAATAATAGGAGGTGTAGGAGAGTCAGATACACGTGGTAGAACATCTTGTGCCTGCACAGAAATTAGTAGAAGCATGGCTGAAGCTAAGCACTTTATCATCACTGACATGGTTGATTTCATTCTTGCTTTCTCTCTAGCTCTATCTCTTGTGGAAGATTTTGAGATGTGCAAGTTAAGATTGTGAGAGATAATTTATAGGCATGGATTGAATGTGTTTTGAATAATTATTTATTGAAGTCTCATTAACTAATAATGATTATTAATCACCATTTATAATGAACTTCTTCTATCTAGCTAACTTTAAAGACCATTTGATTTCAAGTTTACTTCAGAAGAGGGAGATCTAAAATTTTTCTGCATGTTTTGATGAGGTGTCCACAAGATCAAATATAAAATAAAATTGTATTAGTGTTAAGATGATGCAAATTAGGTACAATTAAGTGTCTTTGAGGAAGACTATGAATCTTGGGACAATCCCTTTATTAAAAGGTATTGCAAATTTCATTTCACTGCCTCTATTTTATTGCAGTGAGCTACTGAATCCCTTGTTTGGTTTTGAATTATTACAAATTTAGAGCAAATGCAGCATCATCCAAATTTGGGGTATGCATGAAGCACATAGTTAAAGGAGATGGTATACATTAATAAAATAATGGGCATAGTGGAGTCATGAACTCTGTTCTAAATCTATCACTCTGAATGCATGGAGCTTGCCTCTGATTATGGGCTAAGTCACACAAAAAAAAAGTATCCCAAAGCAAAAAAAATTTGGGCCAAGAAAATCCATGCAATGTCCAAGCCTAATGCAGTTTGGGCTTCAGATAGTGATTCATTTTCATATCCTGACAATATTTGTATTAAAATATTTCACACGCACAATAATAATAATGATAATAATAATAACCAGGATATTTCTAGGTGTTTGTTTGGGAGGTCATTTTTTCAGCTTTTCTTCTTCTTCTTATAAGTAAAAGCTAGGCCAAATAGGTTTTTACAAAAGCTCTTATAATAAAAAAAGTTTTTTTTATAATGAAAAAAAAAATCAAAAGTCAAAAGCTCCTATGAGGAGCTTTTTTTAAGTTGTTTCAACTTTTTTTGAAATAAACAGCTTTTAAGCTAAAATTTTTATATAATCATCAAATAACTTTTTAAAGCTCTTTTTTTAATTTTAAGTTAAAAGTAGCTTTTAGCTTAAAAAAAAGAAATGTGTCAATAGTGTTTAGGGTGATTGAATATTTGAATATAAATTTTAGATTTTAGGCTCGGGTGTTTGTTGGGCACTCTCTGACCTTTCTATATGTATGGAGTCACGTTATTGTTTCGTCATGTCTCTTTTTTTAGGCTCTTTGCACTCTTTTGTGAGTTTTGAGCATTGTTGATTTATTAATTTCAACGACGAGGTGATCTTCTCTGTCCCAGACCTATCTCGAGACTCCTTCACACGCTCCCTCACGTGCGGGAAACAGAAGCGCTCATTCCAGTTCTGCAGCGGCGCGTGAGACACCATCTTCACGCACGACCAGTGTAGACAAGCTCGTCTCCTTCTTCTGAATCTGGATCTATTATTATCCTGTGGTTTTGACTTCGTCGCGACCTTCCCACAATGTTTTTTCCCTCTCTTTGTTAGTGTTTTGATCTCTTTGTTACTGTTCTGGTGACGTTAGACCTTTACTGTTCTGATTAGACACTTTTTCAGTGAACTTCATGTCTGACGTTGAAGATACTCCGACCAGTCAACCATCTATTACACCCATTATGGCTTCTCTTAGTCCAAATGATCTGCTTGCTCTCCATCAGGATTAAAGTCTTAATGGAAAAATTTATTTGCAATGGTCTCAGCTTTTTCGTTTGATTCTCAAAGGGCTTCGTAAGATTGCTCATCTTGAAGGACCTGTTCCTACCAAAGCAGATCCAAAATTTGTGATTGGGATAATGAAGACTCTTTTATTATAACCTGGCTGTGGAACTCTATAACTCCTGAGGTTAGTCAACATTGCATGTTCTTACCTACTGCTTTTGAGATATGGAATGTTCTTCATTAGACATATTCAATGAAACAACATGCCGCCACCTGCTATGATCTGAAAAATAGGATTTTTTCTACCAAGCAGGGCTCTTTCTCTGTAACAGAGTATTATAGCATTCTGAATGGATTGTGGACTGAGCTTGATAAGTACCATAGTTTGAAGATGGAGTGTAGCAAGGATACAACCATTCCGGCCTCCTCTGTTGAATGAAATCGGATCTTTGACTTTCTTTATGGCCTCAACTCAGAATATGACCCTATTCGGATTCAAATTCTTGGTAAGGAAAAATTACCTTCTCTTTATGAAGTTTTTCATACTATCAAGGGTTAAGAAAGTCGTAGGGATATTATGATGGATACCAAGTTTTCTGAAGGATCTATCATAATCTCATATAAAGTCACTACTCCAGCTCCTTCTGATTCTAAGCCCACTGACGGGTCTGCTATTGTAACGCCCCATCTGCAGCCGGTTAATTAACATTCATATGATAGTAAGCGCAGCATGCTCAAATTAATTAATGCAAAAGCTAACTAAATAATTTTTCTCTTTTTCCTTATGTATTGCAAACTTTTTCACTTCCATGGCTAAAATAAAACGGACAGCATTTCCTCTGTATTTTCGACCTCAGGGGATAATTCCCACTATGATAATTTCAACCTGATTGACAGTTTAATATAACTCGGGCATACCACAACATAGATAAAACATATTACCCAGCCATCCATGGCCTAGGCTATCTCATAATCATATTGTCTCAAAATAATGTCCATGATGTTACTTATATAATTACATCAAATAAACAAAAGAGATGCAATTAAATAAGTAACATAGACCAGAGCATGCATCACTAACAACACATATACAGACTATCAACCTGGCATAGACATCTCCTATTCTCTCAAAAAAAATACATGGCATATACAACTCAAAATAAAGTACGTCAGGTACAAATCTAATATCCACAAGACTCTGACAATCATGTCAAGTAGTATCTCTCATCTGGCCTCTTGCCACGCGATGCCTCAGCACCATCGACTCCTGTACCTGAAATGGTAATCCCCATAACGCGGGGTGAGATAATGTAATTACCTCAGCAAGCTAGGGACCCTTGGAGGGCTCCTCCACCCCTAAGCTCACTTCTGGTATAATCACAATATAAAAATCTATGCATGCATCAGAATATGTATGACAGTGCAGTGTGCAATAATGTAATCCTACTGGCCAGGGAATATAATAAGTATGCATTACGCAAGGAAACATCGTCTTGAAACATACCGTATGAGGAAACACCGTCTCATACTATGCATAAGAAAACAT